GGGGGTGCTGGTGAGTGATTTTGTGGAGGTCAGCACCCTTGGACCCCCTCTTGATCTTTATAAGTGTATATGTATGAAGATTTTTACTAATGAATATAGGAGTCTTCGTGTTGACTAATACATTGGTGGAGTTGTACAAGGTCATATCACTTCTGTCCTGGGTGAGATAAACACACCTTGCAAACATGTGGCAATACCAGATTAACTGAGTTCACATTGATGAAACATAATACTGACACACTACTTTGTTTATCAGTTCATGAAACTCCTCATGTGTATCATGAAAAATGGTTTCAGGTTTCAACCAGAGGTTTGTTGTTGTTTAGCCTGTATGGTGTTTCCTACTGGCAAATACTGGCTTGTCCACTGATTTCCCTACTTCTTATAACTTACTGATATGAAAAACAAAGCAAACCAGTGAGGTTCACACCCCTCACGGTTGTGAGTAACTCTATCTCTATTGTAGGTGTGTGTCACTTCCTGCTTGGCAGTGGCATTCATCACAGGGTCACACAGTGTTGTACTTCTCAGAACACAGTGTTGTACTTCTGTGGATACAGTGTCAGACAGTCTACACATGGTCACACAGTGTTGTACTTCTCAGGACACAGTGTTGTACTTCTGGATACAGTGTCAGACAGTCTACACAGGGTCACACAGTGTTGTACTTCTGTGAATACAGTGTCAGACAGTCTACACAGGGTCACACAGTGTTGTACTTCTGTGAATACAGTGTCAGACAGTCTACACAGGGTCACACAGTGTTGTACTTCTGTGAATACAGGGTCACACAGTGTTGTACTTCTGTGAATACAGTGTCAGACAGTCTGCACAGGGTCACACAGTGTTGTACTTTTGTGAATACAGTGTCACACAGTCTACACAGGGTCACACAGTCACACAGTGTTGTACTTCTCAGAACACGTGTTGTGCTTCTGTGGATATAAGATAGTTTACACCACAGGGTCACACAGTGTTGTACTTCTCAGAACAGTGTTGTACTTCTGTGGATAGAGTGTCAGACAGTCTACACAGGGTCACACAGTGTTGTACTTCTCAGGACACAGTGTTGTACTTCTCAGGACACAGTGTAAGACAGTTAATACCACAGGGTCACACAGTGTTGTACTTCTCTGAACATTGTCACACAGTGTTCTACTCTGAATATAGTATTACACAGTGTTACACTTCTCTGAATACAGTGTCTTACAGTGTTGTATATCTTTGAATATAGTACTTCTCTGAATACAATGTCAAAAGCTTGTAATTCTCTATGTATGTACTGTCACACAATGCACTTTATACCCATGCTCATCACACAATTAAGCTGCTTTAATTACATGAAACATGTCTATTGTTTCCTGATGAGTAATATGACGTGTCACTGATGCGAATTCAAATCTGCACATGAAAAGCACTAAAATATACTATGGTTAGCTGATCATATACTACTACCTGTACCTGATTTTAAGATTGCCAAGATCTAGCTGTGGATGATCCTTCCTATTGTGCCAAACAATAGCAACACATAATACCATATTTCACAGCTGACTAACACATACTGGCATTGTAACACATCCACCAGTTTGCTTCACCCATGTAGTTGTGAATCATGTCGGCAGTGTCCAGCCTTGTTGTAAGCTCCTTACAGCCTCCTCTTAGGGGCACCCCAAGAAACTCTTGGACATCCCATACCCCGCCACTCCACCTTCAGGTGAGTTCTGCAACATTATCCACTACATCCTAAGTCATACTACATCATTTTTGCTACAGTACATGTTGACAATCTTCATATAACTTTCCAGAAACCCTGTCACAACCTCTGTTATACAGACAAACATTGATGATAGTTATTGCATTGTGATTAATCATAACACAATGAAATATTTCAATTATAGACTGAATCATAAATGAACACTGATATTATGTTATTTTCTTTCAAACCAATCTGGAGTTTTAAAACACAAATGGTGTATGAAATGTTTTGTCAATTCTACCCATTCTTGAAGGCGTATTTAACTTTAGGTCTCGTTTGGTTTTATCTTTAAAATAACACAATTGCAAGGCAATTCAATCTTGAAACCAATGTGTTGCCTATGATGAAGTGCCATATTCATCTAACTATTATATTGTGATAAACATATAAAAAAAGGAAAGTTTGCTTAAATCAGAAGTGAAAAACAACGGACAAGCATTTAAGAGGTTACCAAAAGGTTCCATTTAGTGAGGTTCCTGTACTTATTTAACATACTCATGAACAAAATATCTCTGACACACACCTGTAGTTGTGACCAGTCCCTGTTTAGCCTGACAAGATACAGAGCTATTTCCATTGTTATATCATGCACTGCACACAAACCTATTGTAAATCCGCACAATATTAAGTTCAAGCTTACCTTTCCTTGTGAAGCTTGAACCAGCTGACACACCAAGACTGCACCAGCAGGAGTGACACATCACCATGGAAACAACATGTTTCATATGCTCAAAGTGAATCATATGTTGATGTTGAACACATAACATAAACTTCTTCTCAGTTTCTTACAAACTGAAACTGTCGGTGTTTAAAATAGGTTGAAAGTGGACACAAGCCAATGGCATTCTAGATCATTTTTTGTCTACTGTGAAATGTCTGGCTCTATTTTCATAAATGTATAATGCTCTCTGAAATACTAGTATGCAACAGAATGTCATGAATCTACTCGATCTGGCCTACACCTCCCCCAAATGTTTGATAGGCACAAGACTTTTAGTCAATATATTCATGTGATCAGTTACTTTTGACTTTCAGTATACATACCAAGCACACTTAATGCAATCTCTTTGTAAATATCCTCTGTTTTGCATGTGATTATATCTATAATTCCTTTCATACGACCAAGAAGGTATGTGACTCTGCCATCTGTTGCACAATAGATGCAGGTCGTGCAAGCCTTTCATCCTTGTTCCACAGTTCGTGACATTTATACATTGATCTGAGCATGTATTTCATTGAGCTGTCATCAGCATTTGTTGATATAGGGTAATTTAATTAATTTCTCCATTCTAATTTTCTAACGTTCGAGACTGTAAACATCTACAAGTTTGAATTTGTTTTGTCACCTCAGTTTACCTGAGAATCAGAAATGTCATAATGATTTGTCCATAATAAAAAGTGACACATGTATACATGAACTATTACACACGTTTTAATTTTCTACAAAGGAGGAATCCTCATTTGCTCACAAACAATTTTGTATTCAAAATTTAGACTGGAACAACAGAGTGCCTTGTATTTTTACTAGGATATATTATGAAATTTAGACTGAAACAAAAAATCAATAACCACCTTCAGTAATATAAGGTGCTGACAACTCTCTGGGCAATGTTGAGTAATTTAGTGAGCAATTATTGTATGACAATATATCTATACAAATTGTTTTAGTTTTAAAAGAAGGTTTAGAATTTCATATATTTTGAAAGAAGTATTGTATTACAAAGATGGCCTTTCAGAATCCATATAATGCTTTTTAATCAGATGATACAACAAAATACTTGAACATTCACTTGATTCAGATTGAAGTTTCACTGTATTGCTTTCTAATAAACTGATTAACTACGAAATTGTGCACCAAAATTTGAAGACATCAAATTTATTCAACAACATGTCTGTTCACTGAATAAGCCTTTGCTTTGAAAAGAACTTTTAGCAGCATAAAAAACATAGTAAGTCAAAATCGGATTCCGTAATCCGTAACTCTTTATCGTGTTCATCTTTTACATGATTCCACGCACCTGTAGGATCTGACCACCTTACAGACTGATAAAACGTTCTTAGAAATTCTGGCCTTTTCATTCTGCAATAACAGTTGTCTTTCTATTTGAATGGACATCAAATGTTCATAATATTCAAACCGTATTTATGACATTTGCACATTTGTTTACAAAATTCACACACCTTGACACACTGCATTGACCTCGCAGGGAATGCTGGGTACGCGGTGATGTCATAGATGTAGCGGGGAGTACCTTTCGGAAACAAGCGAATACACTGCGTTCACTTTCCAAATGTTCGTGCGATAAATGAGACTTAACAGGTATGTCAAATTTTATGATTAGGAGCCACAATGTTTTTGCCTATTTTGTGTCAGTGCAATCTTCACGGGACAGCGCCTAAAAATAGCATATTAAGGCGTCGTGACCCACATTAGTTTGAATCGTCAATGGCGGCAGCCATGATGTTAGTACTCGTTTGGTGGTGAAATCCATATCCTGATTGCAAACCGGTAATGCAGCTTGTCAGTGCTTCATGCATAGGATGAATGCTGTCTTTAGTATATATACAGTCATAGGCATAATCAGTTGTGTCTGGCGATGAGTTTTGTAATAAATTATTTCGTTTCTCAAATAAATCGGCCTTCGTCAGTTTCGTTTCGTTCAGCAAGATGCAGACAGACTAGAGCTTTGAAGGATCCTCACGACAAGCTAAAGTTTGTGCACTCGCGTAACTATCGCCTAAGCGATCCCCACTTCCTGAATTAAGTAATCGTTTGCGTTATGGGTTGTCAATGATCAGTTTGTTCTTATCGGATGTCAGGCACTTGAAATAGAAATATTGTTGACGGAACTTCGTAATGGACGACGCATTTCCAGGTAGGCTTGGCTTCATTACCTCCCTTGCCTGTTTGGCTGTTCAGGTAAATATTGTAGGGTTTTGTTTTCCCTAATAGAGACATTATCAAGAAATAGCAAGTAATTTAGCCCATATGTATGTTACTCTCGCGGTTAGACGTGTATGAATATGGACGTATGGTATTTGTAAAATGTGTCGTCTGCCATTTTGTGACCTCGACCGGGTGTTCAGTGATGCGTTTCCGTGCCGGTGTGCTGTCCTGTGAATGCATACTTGTCGAGTGACGAATGTCCCACCACTACGGAAGTAACTGGGAGCGGAGCGCTTTCTAGGGTCTTGTCATGCGATACTGTCCACTATTCCAATACGAATTTTGTTCATTTTGCAGGTGAAACGAGAGAAGAGCCCGAACAAAAATATGACCGACAAGAAGTCCCCTAAGAAACAGACTAGGTCATCGAAGGAAATAATCTGCACTGTTGTACTCTTAGATGGAGAGAATTTCGATGTGCCGATTGATGTAAGTTGTCTTCTTTTATGCCATGTCAGTGATACTGAATGAATACAAACAATGCATTTTATTAAATTTATAGTAGGATTGTCTCAATGTGACCTTTCCTGAATCAGCCTACATTTTGTATGAAGTCAAATTGTGTGTGTACTGTCAATGCCCCGCTGCAAATGCTTTTAAATTGTTTAGCTAACTATATTTTGTATGATTTTCAACCCATGATTTTTTAAAGCAAATGTGATGACACTTCATGACTTCAGCTACATTTTCAGTCATTCTTGTACGTCACTACCATGTTTTATGTACCTTTTTAATCCTTGATGCAAATGTTGCAATGTAATTTTAATGCTGTGATCCTGTTTTATTCCAGAAAAATGCTGTAGGTCAGAAATTGTTTGACAAAGTTGGAGATCATATCGATCTGCTGGAGCGGGACTACTTCAGCCTGACCTACACAGATGACAGGGACCCAGCACATATAAAGGTGAAACAAGCATGTCTCTTTCACTCTAATGGGACATACAATCCTTACTGTTTCCAGGGCTTTATACTCTGCCTTTGGAATGTTGGTTATTGTTTTCTGTTTTTTTCAGGTTTTGTTTTATCTTGTATGTGCACATTTCAAGGATCTTTAATGTGGTCTTGACAGGGATTTGTGATACAAGAATATCTGTGCGAACCTGTGCAGATGTGAATGGATTATTTTCTGTGCTTTTCATGGACATGGCTTAATTATTTGGATAGTCATGAGATGATGCAGTGCAGTGGAAGATGTTGGATTATCAAAAGTGATGTACTGATGTACATGTGTGGATACATGGGAAAATTATGGATTCATTGTGAAGCAGTATGACAAGAGGCAATTTCCCTTAGTGTTTCACAGTGTTGGAACAGTGGATACAAGTCAATTCAGTGAATTTCTTGATGTTCTCTGTGAATTGTATTATTCATAGTATTAGTTGTGTTCTGCTATACATACTCATAACAAGAATCATGGTGTGTAAAATTATTGTTGGGCACTGACTAGAGCTGGTTATTGTTACATTTTGTCAGATCGATAATCGCTAGTGTCAGATCGATAATCAATCGATTATAATCGTTTGGACGGTCATTTCATAGTCAAATACCTACGTTAGCGAACTAACTTCCGGGATGTTGTCAGCACGTGTCAATTGTTAACGCTAGCAAGTTACTTACATGTGCAGCGTCTTTGGATCATCAAGTATCCTATCGTCTAACGTTTCTGATTGTTATATGTTTTTGATCGCCGATTACAATTCCCATTTATAGCGCAAAAATGAGAGAAAATCCATGAGAAGCATCCCCGAATGACAAAAAGATGATCCCCGCTATTGTTCTGCCATCGATATGCTACGAATCAAGTTGCGATCCGTAGGCAACAGTATAACAGTGTTCACGAATGGTGTTTCAAAGTCACAGGACATTGGGTCCTGTAAGTTTCAGATGTCTGTCTGACCCATTGAAAATGCACAGGACCCATGGAATAAAATTAAACACACATTTCAGATTTAATATTTCTTATAATTGACATTGAAATTATTAACAAACATAAGATTTATAAACAGCAAACAAGTGTCACATATAACAACTTCAGTCAAAGTCATTGTGAAATATACAGTCAGACACTGGGGTCTGCGGGTTGTAGACTTCTGTCTGACCGTTGGCGAATCTGCCGGATTTGTCAGAGGGTCAGACGCTATTCGTGAACACTGTTATAAAAACCCCACAAAAGATTAATTTTAACTCGGGGGATCCTTAATGCAATATGTACCTCATAATCAAATGCACAAAAATCCTAAATCTTTACTCCAAAGATGCCATTAATGTTTCATCTGCTTAGTTGACATCCCACCATACAAGATCACACTACTAGTCATGTGACCTCGCTGGTCGATTTATTTTCATGGCATGCCATTTTTTAAGAAACTTTTAGTTTATGTTGAAGGGTGAACAAAGACATTTCCTAAAGGTTGAAACACAAAATTTATTCTGGGAAGTATTATAATTAACCACTGTAACGAAAGTTCAAGAGAATTCATGAAACTGAAAATAGCTCTATTTTACCCGCCTTCCATAGTCATGTGTTTGTATGCAAATGCAACTCAAGGAATTCCCTCTTTCAGCCAATTAGAAAGTAGCTAACCTGTAATACCTGGGTCGTATTGTGACGTTTTGTTGCATGATTGGACGAATGAGTTTTGCTATAAACCACTTTACACGTTAACTCATAGTATTTCAATGACGAAATAGGACACCCCAATCTAAATATATCTAGCATTGCCATTGGCTGACAGGGGAGGCATGCATACTTGTGTACTACACAGCTTCCGTTTAAGAGGTAAACAAGCAATGACAACCAGAGTGTTCGGTATAAGAAAACATGACAAGGTAGAATAAAATATTTTAATGTATGTGCATCCAAATAATGATTATTTCCGATTATCGATCTGCAGTTTATTTGTAATCGACAATCGTTTATTTTCACTTAGATCAAACGATTAACCGATCCTACGATTAATTGCTCCTGCACCACTGACACTCGACCAACATAAGACAGTTTGTTCTGTGTATGTTCTACTGAGGAATTGTTTGATCCAGATTCAGTCGTTTACGGTCTATAGTGATATTAGTCTGTGTCTGTCAAATATCATTTTTCAGTCTTCTAAACTTCTATATTAATATATTAACTCTTGGATCAAATTAAGATCTAACGTGACGTGTAGCGTCTGTTATAAATCTACACAGGTTTATGAAGGGCTGTCATGCATGGATGCCCACTGCCAGCTGATTCTTCACTCAGAAATGAGACTGATGCCTTAATATAACCATTTGCTTGCAAGTAGAGAGACTATCACAGAACTTAATTAGTATATATTTGTGATCTCTATGACCTTTGATTGATGACTTACATATATTAGGAAGTAGATGCTGCAGAAATAGGATGTCAAAATTTGATAATGTTTTTCTACTGTACTACTTTATGTACATATTTGACAAGTTAATTAATATTTGAAAATTACGATGCATCATCTACACAAAATGTCCAGTATTTTCCCTTTCATTTGGTCAGTATTATATCATTGTGTTACATGATTTGAATGATCAGCTGTGACTTCCCAACATCAAGACTTCCCATGTTGCTGCTAAACTTAAGTTAAACAGGAATAGACCTGGGCCCCACTTCACAAAGCTATCGTAGCGCTACGACTGTCGTAAGTCTATGTTACAGTATAGGAGGTATGACAGTTGTAGCGCTACGATAGCTTTGTGAAACGATAGCTTTGTGAAACAGAATCCTGTTCTTTTTGGCTGATATATTTACTATATACACGTGTATTGTGAGCTAATTTTATGGCAATTGATGAATAGATTTAATACAGTGCATCCTAAAAAGTAACTTCTTTATGAGTTTAAACAAGCAAAATGGTTGTCTTCAGGGTGACATTTCATTTTCAACTTGAATTCATTCTGAAAAGTATTGATCTGGCCTCTACAACCTGTTCACATCCTTGTAACTTGTAACCTGTGAATGAACTTAAGTGTGTTACATCAGTAATGCCTGGTATCATATCTAATATAACTGTGTCCTAATGAACAACTAGATATGCTTGAAAGGATGACATTAGTGCGGGAAGGTGTTTTGTAACAAGATTATTTTCAGACTTCAGTCTATTATAAAATGAAGTGGGATTAGTTTGGATACCAGACATATAAGGATGTAGGTTGTATATTTACATTTAGGCCATTGAGGCAGGTATGTGTGGTATGCTGACTGTCACAGTATAATAGGTGGTGTATACATTTGTATATAACCCCTGGCTGAACGACACCTCTGACCTACACTCATGTGTTACAGGGCAAATAGTTTCAGCTTGGCAGCTTAGCTGAGGTCATTCAGCTGTGTAATGACACAAGTAATTACAGTAAGACTTGTTTGGGTGGCTAAGCATCACTGACTCTTGAAATGTTAGTTTAACTGTTTACTCAGTAGGCCTAATCCTGATGCAGATAGTATTGGTTGGAATGTAAGGTGACATGGTCTTGTCAACTCCAATGTTAAAAGTAAAAATTCAAATATTGTTTCAGCCAATCTCATCAGTAACCACCTAATTTATGACAGCTGTAAATTTGCAAATTAGAAAATCAAAATGTAGGGGTGGGTAGTATGAACATGAAGTAGGAAGAGTTACCTGTGACCTGGATAGCACCTACAAGATTACGAGATGACATTGACAACTTGTTAGTACTAAGTAATAAAATGTAGACGTGGGTGTAGTACTTTGAAGGTTACCTGTGATGAACTTGGTTATTCATGGAATTATGTGACATGTCAATACAAAAGAATTACTCCTATTCTAAATGAAAACTAGTGTCAAATCCAGATTTGAAAGTCATTTTATTCAGAAGATGCATTTGTCATGTTGTTGTGTCACCTGTGTTATTGCTTAGGCTTCTCTGTATTATAATTTATAGCTGTGATGTTGCTCATTGTTAACCCAGTCACTCACTGAGGGGTGATAGTTCAGAAGATGGTAACCGACGCAGCTGTTAGATGCTGTAGTTTCAATTCTGATTAGGGGCGGTGGGGTAGCCTAGTGGTTAAAGCGTTAGCTCGCCAAGACCCAGGTTCGATTCCCCACATGGGTAAAATGTGTGAAGCCCATTTCAGGTGTCCCCTGCCGTGATATTGCTGGAATATTGCTAAAAGCGGCTTAAAGCTAAACTCACTCACTCACTCAAATTTGATTAGATTCATATTATCCCAAAGCAAAGGTCCATAGATGTGTATTGACAAGTAGTATTTGTGATTGTAAAGGGTGTTTTTTATTTCATGCAAATATCTCCTTGAACGACTTACCTGATGGCATTTTAAAGTTCTCCATTGTTGTGTGATACCATGCATGCTGAATTGCCTTGAGGTATGGGAAATTCATGTGTTAATACCTGTTTATTGGGACCTTCCATCTCCTGTATTAGATACATGGTGAATAAGTATTGTATTCTGAAACAAATGTTTCATTTGTGCATTAATTACTTTGATCATGAAATTACATATCACACTGATGTATTTGAATTGTATGAGTACCTGAATGTTGCCTGACTCTGAGGGTGCGGGTTCGAATCTCGGATGGGACTCAACCCCAAATCTGTACTTTACTAGAAAGTGTAATCCCAAATATAACATGTTATATTGTGACCTTGCTGTATTATTTCACCCAGAAGTTTTCTCATTGATGATGGAACATGTTTTTAATTTAGTTTCCTTTGTTTCAGTATTGGTTGAATCATGAAAAGAAAATATCAAAACAGAAGAAAAGTAAGTAGTTTTGCGTGAATTGTCAGAATAATCTTTTTAGTAGATGAACAATCTTTTAACTGTTGTCATTGTTTTTTCATAGATTGCTACTTATGAAATACTGCTTGTTGTGTGAATCATCAGACCATCAGAGTTCAGATACCTTTTCAGGATTTTAAGTTGGTTTCGGTGGTCTTATATTAGGCATAATATCTTACTTACCTAAGTTCTCTTTTTCCCTGCAATATTTACAGTCAAATATATATGCTTTAAGACTAGATGAATATGATGTTACCAAAGATGCCTACTTTTCTCATATCAGTGCACTTTTGCTCTACATTTCAATTCACCAAGCAAACATTATTTTCAGGAGGTGCTTGGGTGTTTGAATTTGCAGTGAAGTTTTATCCACCAGACCCTAGCATGTTGCAAGAGAGCCTTACAAGGTAGGGGTGCCAATAATGCTGATGGATCAATTGTCTCTGGACTCTCCCTGGTTTCAGTGTCTTATTATTGGTTCATATATGTTTCATAATACAGAGAGGTCTGTAGTAACTCGTACAACAAGAACCCTTCCAGTACCAGTTAAATTTGATTTTGTGCACAGTAATGTTTAACAGCATGACTGTTACAATGAAAAGGAGACAAGTATGTAGAAAATTTGACTCTCTTGACTGTCTCTAATTTTGCTTATCCTGTCATTTTCAGATATCTTGTTACCTTGCAAGTCAGAAGAGACATTTTAAGTGGAAGGTGAGTTTTATCTTATATTCATCAGCATTTCTTGGTTTAATGATTGTGGGTGTGGGTAGGTCTTGGAGGACTGTATGATGCCTCATTAATAGAATTACAAGAAAATTAAAGGAATATGTTTCAAGACAATGGAACCAACTGATGTAAGGAACAGGTTTTATATTGCTGATAGTGACATATGAAATAATAACTATCCTGAAGGTTTCTTGTGCCATGTGACTCTCTCACTCATTCACTTGGGGCGGTGGGGTAGCCTAGTGGTTAAAGCGTTAGCTCGCCACAAACGAAGACCCAGGTTCAATTCCCCACATGGGTACAATGTGTGCAGCCCATTTCCGGTGTCCCCCGCCACAATATTGGTGAAATATTGCTAAAAGTGGCGTAAACCATATTCACTCACTCACACTTCATGTTTCAGGTTACCTTGTTCCTTTGTCACACATGCCCTCCTAGGGTCATACAGTGTCCAGGCAGACCTCGGCGACTATGATGTCAACGATCATGGAGCTGGCATTGACTACATCCGTGACATGCCATTTGCTCCTTCACAGACAGCAGAACTTCTAGACAGAATACATGAACTTCACAAACAACACAAGTAAGTGTTAAGAGTCACTCTGCTATGATGTTTTGCGTCCTTGGGAAATTGTGCTGTTAGTATTCACTAGCATAAAACTGAAAATTTGACAATATTCGGCTCATGTATACTCACTTGAAACCTACACAACTACATTTTATATCATGAAAATGACTTGTTTGATATAACTCACTAACTGATGTTTTCAGCCATTGGCATTTCAGCTGCTTGAATACTAGTACTGTGTTGAGTGGCTAGTGACGTAGAAGTGTTGCAGGATGCATTCTTATCTTTACTGCCATTATTTTTCAGAGGTCAAACGCCAGAAGAGGCTGAAAACCACTTCTTGGAAAATTCCAAGAAATTAGCTATGTATGGTGTTGATCTTCACAAAGCAACAGTAAGTTGTCATCTTATGTCAGTGAATACCACAGGAAAATAGACTCGAATAAGTCTTTTATCATTGTCTTTTTGGTATTCAATAACCCCTCAAATCTTATTCAGCTGCTGAAAGATTTCAGTGAACATATACAATATACACCTTGCATCAACTGTCATTTGTGTAGTACACTGTCACCGTAATCCTGTACATTTTGACTGGTAGTCTGACAAGATTAGTGACATTATCAAAGTAATGAAAGTGTTAGTGTTACCTGCAGGAAGTGGTACAAGCTTGTAGTTACGTAACTTTGATATGGTTGATGTTGCTCCAATGTGCAGAACATTTTGACTCTAATGTCTCTTTCCCTTCTTCTCACTTTGATGATTATGTGGTTCCAGGACTCCGAGGCCGTGGCCATCATGTTGGGCGTGTGTGCTAGTGGGTTGCTTGTATACAGAGACAAACTCCGTATCAACAGATTTGTCTGGCCCAAAATATTAAAGATTTCTTACAAAAGGAACAATTTCTACATAAAAATACGACCTGGAGAGGTGAGTAAACAGTTCGTTTGAACCCGAGAAGATAAACCTGTATATTTTGAGTATCCATTCCAAGAATTACTCTAAGACCTATATGGAGAGCACCATTTCACCTCTTTATGGACAGCTCTTTTATCAAACTCATTTTGTCAACCAGTCTTGCAGTTGCAAGCTACAGATGATGTTGCTGTTGGGTTACTGTTATGACAGATAGTTGTGAATTAGTTTGCCCTGCTTACCTTCCGCAGTGTCTGTTCACACCCTGTAATGTAAATCCACTCCATAATTAATCTGTCATTGTTGATTCCTTTACAGTTTGAGCCTTTCGAGACAACCATCGGTTTTAAACTTGATAATCACAGATTAGCCAAGAGGTTGTGGAAAACATGCGTAGAACACCATGCCTTCTTCAGGTGAGATGAGAATCTTAGTAGTAGTTACTGTGAACACTAATAAATCCATTGTTGCGTTTGGCAGAGAGTGTTTCCTTGATAGTGAAACATATGATAAACCACACAAAGTATTATTGTTGGTCACTGATGTTCACAGAATTTGTAAGTGTACTTACTTATATATTTTCTGCACATATTTCTGTAAACCCTTTATGTTTACAAGGGTAGATTAACGCGTTCTGTACAGGGTGACCAATCCTGGGTAATAGTTTGGTTTGATGTTTCTATGAACTATAGTTTGTTTTATTTACATTTGCAGGTTGCGAGAACCAGAAGCACCCACAAACAGCACAGTATTCCCCCGCCTTGGTTCCAAGTTCCGCTACTCTGGGAGAACATTGTACCAGACACGACAAACGTCAGCACTCCTAGACAGACAACAGCCTTATTTCGACCGTTCCAACCAGAAACGTCACACATATGCAGATCAGAGAACACGCAGTGTAGATGAATGTAAGTTGCCTTTCTTAATCAGTAAGTGGCTTCATTTTGTAAACAAGCATGCTATATAGTTTAATATTTCGTTTGCACATGAATCGCTTTAATTGTGTAGAGTTTGTAGTCAGGGTGGTGGGGTAGCCTTCTGGTTAAACGTGTTCGCTCGTCACACCGAAGACCTGGGTTCGATTCCCCTCATGGGTACAATGTGTGAAGCCCATTTCTGGTGTGTACAGCAGTGATGTTGCTGGAATATTGCTAAAAGTGGCGTAAAACCAAACTCGCTCACTACAGTTTGTAGTCAATTAAGACATGTCTTCTAGTTTTTAACAGTTTTGATAAGCGGTTTTAGTTTGTTTACGCTTAGATTGTTAACCTGGTTGTTAAAGCATGAAGACCAGGATTCAATTCCCCAACAGTGAGTGAAGCCCATTAGACATTATGGTGCAGAATATTAACCAAGAGTGGCCATTAACCATACTCAGTGAAACAGATCAGTAGAAATAGACCTTACGTCATTTTGTATAATCTTGAAGCAAATTTATTAATGTCTCAATGATGAAACGTAACTGCTTTGACTTTTTACTCATCTGTAATTACTTCACTTGTTCTGCTTTAGTGGCTATGCGTCCAAGCTACAGAGAACAATACAAAGACCAATATGGCTACTACCCAGAAGATGCACCAACACTGGAAGGCAGAAGCACCCAGATGATCGTGACCGAGATTTAGACAGGTCGCTCCCAGATGAGAGGGACAGACATGATAAGAAGGGATTTGTCAAGACACCGATCTCAGAACTGGGTCTATCTGGTGTGAAGCCTTATGAAGATGAAGAAGGGGGAACGTTGAAGAAGCGGCCAGAGGAGTACTCAACAGACACAGCAGACAGGCGAGACAAGGCACCTACAGACCAGGTTAGGAGTCATCGAAAACCAGCATTTCGGGGGTGGGGGTTTGTTGTGTGTACAAATAATAATCTGTTATATGCACGAACTTGAATTGGCCAATATTCCTGGATTATCATTATATATTTGTAGGCACTGCAGTGTTATATGTAACTCCACTTGAAATTGATCTGCTGAGTTCAGAGAGCTCAAATCAAAAGCAAGTCACTTTGTTGCAGGAAGCTAGCGCTAATTCAGTGACAGTTAAAGCCTGGAATTGAGTTAGAATTTTTCCAAAGAAAGTACTTATGAAACTGCATAAAAAGATGCTGATATAAATCAGATATGCCTAATTTTTGTCAAACACAGCATGATTATATTAATCAGTAGACCTGTATTGTGCATATTCTATAGGCTCATTTTTGTTAATGTGAATGATATTAATGTTGAATTTGTAAAACATGCAAATACAAATATTTCTGTGTTATAAATCATATTGTAATCAGAGAGGTAAAAACTGTTTCCATTTTTGTAGGATGCTACCATGACGAGTGATCCCAGATATGGTGGTAATGATGTTATGGCAGTGCAGGCAGGCACAGTGGAAGGGCAGTCACCACCCAAAAAGTTATCAAAGGAAGAAGAGAAGGAGAGAAAGAAGAGAGAGAAAGAAGAAGAAAAAAGAAAGAAGGACGAAAAGAAGAGGTTAGGAAAAGGAAGAGAAAGATCGCAAGAAGAAGAAGGGCAAGGACAAAGATCATGAGAAGGTGGCATTAGCAGAGCTTAACAAGTCTGAGGATAGGAGTGATGAACAGGTAAGAGGAAGTGTAGACCAGGGATGGTGAGGCAATAGACTAGGGTTGAGGAAGTGGAGACCTGGGATGGTGAGGCAATAGACTAGGGTTGAGGAAGTGTAGACCTGGGATGGTGAGGTAATAGACTAGGGTTGAGGAAGTGTAGACCCGGGATGGTGAGGTAATAGACTAGGGTTGAGGAAGTGGAGACCTGGGATGGTGGCAATAGGAGGCAATAGACTAGGGTTGAGGAAGTGTAGACCCGGGATGGTGAGGTAATAGACTAGGGTTGAGGAAGTGTAGACCAGGGATGGTGAGGTAATAGACTAGGGTTGAGGAAGTGTAGACCTGGGATGGTGAGGTAATAGACTAGGGTTGAGGAAGTGTAGACCCGGGATGGTGAGGTAATAGACTAGGGTTGAGGAAGTGGAGACCCGGGATGGTGAGGTAATAGACTAGGGTTCCGGTTGATTTGTTGTTTAACACCGCACCCATCAATATTCCAGCTCTATGGCCTCAGTCTGTAAATAATTGAGTCTGGACCAGGCAATCCAGTGATCAACAGCATGAGCATCGATCTATGCAATTGGAATACGATGACATGTGTCAACCAAGTCAGCAAGCCTGATCACCCGATCCCGTTAGTTGCCTCTTACAACAAGCATAGGTTGCTGAAGACCAATTCTGACCCGAATCTTCAAGGGTTACTAGGGTTGAGGAAGTGTATGCAAGGGATGGCAAGGTAGCAGACCAGGGTGGAGGGAATGTAGAAACGGATGGAGTGGTGGTAGACTAAGGCTGGGTGAGTGTAGACCACTGATGTTGAGGTGTTTGATATGATGGTAGATATGGAGGTAATGTATTTTATATTTCATTTGAGTTCAGCTACATTTAGTTTTGGTTTTACCTACAGGGAGCAGATGAAGCAACATTGAAAGCAGACCCAAGACATCAACCAGACAGTTCTGGTCTTGATATGGTAGGATGCAGTTTTTTCACCTCAATGACATTTTACAAATTCTATCAAATATGTTTGTCCAAATCAATACACAAGGTGTTTCGCTCACTTTTTAAGAGGTTTTACCTTTCAATGTCTTAATCATTGTCACTGTCTCTGTCATGAGAGCCATGGACTCACATTTCATCACATTATTATCGATTGCGCTTTGGTTGTTTTTGTGTAAATATCCATCATATCACGCTCTGCAAGCATTGGTTATGTTGCTTGGAGCAAGAAGTTACTGTTGCATGATGGTATTTGTTCACAGGATGAGATAATGTTGGCAGCTAAGATGGGCCAGGATAACAAGTCGCCTGACTCGAAGGTTTTTACTTACTTGTGCTTGTGCTATGTGTGTTGCAACATGCTTCACATCTGCCTCCTTCAATATATAACTTCCTGAAAAATCTTCATGGTTATCCTTTTTCTCTGAATCTAACGGTCTTTGAGGATGGAAATGTGGCAGGTATTTCATTGTATGAAAAATCTTTCATGAATATTTTTTGTCAGTTAAAGCTGGCATTCACCATATGTGGCTGTTTAAGGATCATAAATTGTTCTGAATGTAATACACAAAAATATTGTGTGTGTTATTTAATTATATTCAGGATAGGCGAAGGGAAAAGGATGGTGAGAAGGGCAGTGAATTAGACCCTGAACGGTACCGAGGAAGTTATGGGAGGTACCCAGGGGATGTTGGTCTGGATGGGGAGAGGTACCCACCAGGGAAAGATGGACGGTACGGTACCAGTCCAGGGGATGAGCGATATCCTGGTCAAGATGGAGATGATCGTTACCCTCCTGGCAAAGATGGATATCAATATGGGAAAGATGGTGAAAGATTGCCTTATGGAAAAGATGGCGAAATATTGCCTTATGGGAAAGATGGTGAGAGACTGCCTTATGGTGAAAATGGGGAGAGGTATCCTTATGGAATAGATGGTGAGCGATCACCCTATGGTAAGGATGGCGAGAGGTATCCTTATGGTAAGGATGGAGAAAGATCTCCCTATGGCAAAGATGGCGAGAGAATTCCTTATGGCAAAGACGGCGAGAGATCACCCTATGGAAAAGACGGTGAAAGATTTACTTATGGCAAAGATGGCGAGAGAATTCCTTATGGCAAGGACGGCGAGAGGTCGCCCTATGGAAAGGACGGCGAGAGGTCGCCCTATGGAAAGGACAGCGAGAGGTCACCCTATGGAAAGGATGGCGAGAGGTCGCCCTATGGAAAGGACGGTGAGAGGTCGCCCTATGGAAAAGACGGCGAGAGGTCACCCTATGGAAAAGACGGCGAGATACCCCTATGGTAAAGACGGCGAGAGATACCCCTACGATAAAGATGGTGAGAGATCTCCTGACAGTAGTTTCCCAGGTGATGTTGAACATGATCCCAGTAGATATGGAGGGCTTGGAGCATACCCTGGAGATGCAGACAGAAATCGAGAACGACTCGGCTCGGATGAAGGTGAGGATAAAGATGGCAAGGATAAAGACAAAAAGGGTAAAAAAGGAAAAGAAAAGGACAAGAAGAAAGGAGGGGGTCTGTTTGGGAAGTTTCGCAAATCTGGCCGAGGTGACAAGGATGGAAAGGACAAGGATGGAAAGGACAAGGATGGAAAAGACAAGGATGGAAAGTCACGGGATGGTCGTTATGGACCTGGCGAAGTTCCTGTTGGTGTTGGCTATGGTGGAATTGATCTCGATGAGAAGGTTAACTTCCCAATCAATTTGCTTGACCAAGCTTGAAGCATTGGGAGTAGATTAGCGGCTCACTGCCTGAATCATAGCTCACAGTGGTGTATTTATGCATGGTAGCCATGGCTAGTTTTTTCACCTTTTCATTGTCATATTGTTAACACCATGGGTGTAGTTCATTCATTTGCATAATCTTTCTCACAAGTGAGTCTCACAATCTTGATTGCTAACATTTCGAAGATATACGTTGGTGTATCTCTCTTGCTCCAACCAGGAACCTCCTGTAGAATATGATACTCTTCCAAGAGTACCAGTTTCTGCAATCAAGGCGGTGTTTGACTGGTTAGTCTCGGCATACATTAGTGTGCATCATGAATGGCCATAGATCTAATGTCATGTCTGGTATTAAATGTCACACTTTCTTTGCACTGGCACAACTCCGTACAAATATCACCGATGGTATCACGCTTAACAACTATGCTGTCCCACTGCTACTGACTTCTCTTCTATTTTAGTCTTCGTGACACTGACTTCAGCCAATGCAAAGTTGTCTCCCTTTAGCAAAGCAAGGATTGACAGATTATGGGTTAAATCTCAAATTAGCCCTGATTATGATCCTTGATATGTCTGTCATATCCATGCTAGTCGGTTTCTCCAAAATGGTAAACATCTACTATTTAGGGGATTTCCTCCAACATTGAGCTGTTGTGTAAGAATATGACTGAAATGCTGTAAGATCAAGGTAAAATCCTTTTTCAAATTGACATCAGAACACCCCACCAAATGATTGATGGGTGGTGGAAGAATCTTCATCATCCGTGACCTTGCCTGCTTCTTGAGCTTGTTCTTCATCACTCGGCATAACACTATATCTTTTCTTCGCATTTTCCAGCAGCTTTCAGATTCCTGTAAGGAACTTGCTTGGGTTTTTACCTTTTGCAGTATCTCATTTTATGTGTCTTACATTGATAATTGAAAGTGAATTTAGGAAATGCTTGACATAAATTGGGATCTGCAATGGTTTTGTCAGCTGCTATTACATCCAACTCTACATATAATGACAGTGTGGGAGGAAAAGGGAAAGTGTCATGTATGTTTCCCAAGGGAAATGAAAGCCTATAGCCATGCTGTGTAGCACTTTGTAACACAAAGATGTATCTCTCTCTTTAACATAGAATAAATGTGATGTAGACATTTCTCATGGAGGGATGTTTACTATTACAAATTAACAGGATCATGTTGAGTTCCTTTGATCTTACTGAATGACACGAGCTTACGATTTAAAGATGATGTTGGAAGCAGTTGTGTCAAAGAGGGAGGTACCTCTAAAGGTCAAGACAAAGGAGCTTGATATGGCAATATGTTATTGGCTGAACACCTTACATTAGTCGGAATCTGTCTTATTTTAGTCAAAATCAAATATAGCCACTGACAACAAAAGCTCAAGTGGAGATGTCAGTTGCTCTTGTTCCTTCACAGTGTGAAAAGAATATATAGAGAAACATCCCACACTGAACATTTATGTGAGAATTTTATGTGGGTGACTGTTTTTCAACAATTTAGAATGCATATATTATTACAGGAAAGCTCCACTTGGGCTGTAGTGAAGTGTCTTCATGAACAGCTCACAACACTCTTTTCTCTTTAATACATTTATTTCACATTATTACATGGTGACTATTTGCAGTATTTGCATGTTTATGTACCTTATATATGTTGCATGCCAATAACCTTTTTTCAATTTTAGGATATTCATCTAAGATAAAGCAATGCTTTTGCTCTACAATTTTTATATGTTAAAGACTTGCATAATTATTGCGTGATGCTTTTTGTATATTCTGTTGACAGCTCCTGTGTTATGTGAATATTTCTGACATAATTGTTTGTGTTCATTGATAGAACTGAATGTGGGAGTTCTGTTCTTGTACTCATTCCTGCTTTTGTTGACCCAGGGAAGTCCCTATGGTCCTGGGAGAGAGGCAGGTGGCCGTGATGCCCCAGATAGGGACAGACACCAAAAGGTTTTGCATGATTTTAAGTAGATAGATGTGCAGAGCTTAACCCACTATATCCACATGCCAGCTTATCTTAAGATTAGTTTTTATGCTATTTGGCTTTGGGATAGGCTCATCTCATCATCATTCATCACCAACCACACGGTTGAAGAAACATTCCGGTTCCTACAATTCCCATTTGGTTGTGTTTCATTCTGCGCAAACCTACCAGTATCTCTGATAACATGCTGGGGCGGTGGGGTAGCCTAGTGGTTAAAGCGTTAGCTCTTCACGCCGAAGACCCAGGTTCGATTCCCCACATGGGTACAATGTGTGAAGCCCATTTCCAGTGTCCCCCGCCGTGATATTGCTGGAATATTGCTAAAAGCGGCGTAAAACCATACTCACTCACTCTGATAACATACTTATCTTGTTATATGAACTATTTAAAAGACTGCTTTGGCATTTGGAAAAAAAAATACTTAAAGGCTTCCCAGTTTTGTTATGAACAATGTAGGTTCATTTCACTTTATCTAAACTCTGGTGACTCAAGCAATGACATAGCAAATCTTATGGCTGGATAACCTGCAAGTCAATCAGGATCAAGTTTTCTTGCCCTCGTAATTCATAAGTATTCACCTTCATTTTGAGGATCTGTTAATTATCAAACCACAAGCATAATTGTCAAGCCTATGATGGTCCAGTAGTTTATATATGTATATGAGAACTGCTGATCACAGCATAAAGCTGTATATGTGCCTCAACAGTGTATGCTGTCCTCTCAGTGTGTTATTGCAGCAATACAGTACAGTATATAAAACCCTATCCATTCACTTACTCCATCTCCACCTTCTCCAGCCCTGCCCTCTTGTATTACCTTTCATGGTATACTGTGTGTTCACTCATGATTTTTTAGATGGGTATACCTTTTCCCTCCTCGTTTCTACAGTCATTATTGTGGTCAGGGATTTAGTTTTGTTCTTTTGTGAAAGACTGTTGGGTTCATTTCTACCTGTGCACTTCATTTACACCTCGTTCATTGGTCATCTCTTCCAGAAGGGTAAATCTGATAAGAACAAACGGGCATCTTTTATGGCCAGTTTGTGTGCAGGGAAAAATCCAAAGAAGAAGGTTTGGTTTGCTTGATTGGTTTGGTTGTTGCATCTGGAGTAACATGGCATGGGCTACTGTGTCTAACAGTTGCATGTTGATATGTTCAACTGCTATTCCCATGTCGGCAGCTGGAGGCTGCTGTTCGGATGGATGAGTCTTAATGTGTCACCTGACGAGCTACATTCTGTATGGACGTTTGCATGCCTAGTGCTTAAATGTGTAGGCCAGTGTCTTCATGTCTCCCAGCTCCACCCAGGCCATTTCCACTCCACCCATACCCTTAACTTCCCCTCCCAAAAATTCACCCCCACAAGACACCCCCCCTTATCTCCCCACTTTGGTCACACCCTCCTTTTTCCCCACAAGCTCTAAACTTCACTACCCAGGTCATTTTGACTTTATCCTCTCCCATCCTACACCACCCAGACTGCCACCCACTCCGCCACCCACTCCACCCATACCCTCCCCCACGCTACCCATGCCTATGTCATTCCACCAAGACTCTGTCTGATCCACCCACACACTCCAAAATTAACTTGTTCCTCCACCCACAACCTGCCATTGTTTTACCGTCAATGGCCATTAGTTGACCACCAGCAGCATCCTACTAATGTTGTATGTGGTTTGTGCTTTGGATACAAGTAGACAAATCCTAGCTGGAATTGATGAAGAGGGCTGTTACGCCTTGGCTTCAGGAAGGTAGGATAGTTGTTTGCGCCAGTGTTTCAGTGAGGGCATGCTTGTTAGCGTGTTTGGAGGAACATGCTTTGTTAGTGTGCCATGATGTATGTTGTGTTTGTATGAGAGGTCATTTGTGCTTGCTTCGTTGATGTTACACACTGTTCATAGATCGTCATTGTGAAACAAAATTTTAGACCAGACAAGAAAAATGTTTTAGAAACTAACAAAATGCATGATTAAATCGAGTAATCAGCATGCATTTCAGTTTGGGTTCCATGATAAACAGATAAAACAAAACAAAAAATAATGCATGTACATTTTTCAGACCAATTAAGAACAGAGATGTTGTTTTTTAACAGAATGTTTTCTTGTAGATTTTATCATAAGCACATTATCTTCAATTGTTTTTGGATACATGATATGCAGATAACCAGAAAAAAGGAAATAATCCTTGTACGTTATTGAGGCAAATATGGAATTGAACTCTCACTTTTTAACAGAACATTTTATGTAGCTTTTATCATTTTCCTCCAAAAGAAATTGTGCATTTTTTAAAGACATTTTTTTATTCATGAATATCAAACATATCAATTAAACATTATTTGCTTAAATGTTTCTATAAGATTGTATATTGTAATCTTGAATAAGAGTGTGCAGCACATGTGTGTATACTGTAAGGAAGATGTACGATTGGTTGTATGCAAGACAGCCTATATCCCCCAGGGAGGAGATACAGATTCCGTATCGTCTACTTCATCTCATGCATCTCAGTCTGGCTCTAAACCTGCTGGCAAGACTGAGGAAACAACAGAATCTGAAAAGGTTAGACCACATGTCCGGTGGTGTTGTCTGAATTAATGGCTTCTTGTCAGATTGTCCCCATTGTGTTTTGGCAAACATCCTTCCCCACTACCTGTTGTCGTCTCACCTCCAAAACACAAAGGCAATTTTGCCTGTCAAGTGTTGACTTCTATTGACCAATTGATCATAGTTTATTAAGTATGTTGTTGATGAGTATCATTCCATGAGATTGTTGCACATCTCACCTTCATCTTGTGTTGCACCTGTGATTCATGCATCATTTCATCATCAAATCGTCTTGTTTGCCGACTCATCAATAGTTGTTATTGATTTAATAAATGTTGTGGTTCCAATTGAATTGAGAATGAAGATGAGAATTAATTTCATAGGGCACCAGCAACATCTGTTAAATTATTAACAAAGCTGTAAGAGAAGCTGTCACTTGGACACAACATTTGTAACCGACAAGTTGCATTACTTAGGAAACCCTCACAACAGAAGCTTTAACAGGACTTACCATGTATTTAGTTAACAATCCTTGATGTCTGTCTAAATTTTTAACATGACATTTCCATATGGTTTTAACTTATTATTTCTGTATTCCTCACTTTGTAAATTGCTGATTTTAATGTGACTTATTATCTTTGATCATTTATGTATTTCTTTGACATTGTACTAACGCATTTACTTTCCAGGATAGACCTGTTGTCTGTAATGGAACTGTAAACATCTGACATCAGCTGATGTTAGATATAACACCCATTGTTTGTTACACTCTGACAATCTGCTGATGATTGGTGTGATAATCAGTTATATATTGTCAATCGCCAGGCAAGGGTTTTGTGTAGTGTCACTTCTGGTTTCCTATAGCTAAAAGACTTAGTCATCAGATACAACAGATTTGGTTGTTATATAAAGAACTGAGGGAGCTCTATGCCTTGGCTATCTTACCAGGGACTTATATTTATTTCATCAATGAATGATTAGAATGATCCAAAACAATTTTTTTATTTTTTTAAAAATTACTAATATCCTGAATTTGGACTCCACTAATTTCACTTCTCCCAGCTGGCGTTTGTTCCAATAGATTTCTGTATCTGCTGCTGAAGGACCCTAGTATTAACTGACACCCCTTTATCACAGGGATCTTTCGGACCTGGGGTGGGCGTCGGCCCTGGAGGTTACGGTGGAGTGGGCGTTGGCCCTGGTATGGGCAGAGGAGGACCACTTACAGCAGAACTTGGAGATGAAAGTTTCGTTGATCGCAAGATGGAATTCATCCCTGTTGAACCCCCACACAAGGTTAACATCATCTCCCTATACTAACGTGGCCCAAATTATCAGCCAGCCAGTTAAATACTATTTTGTAACTTGTAGCGAGAAAGGTGTTTATGTTGTCAAGTATAGTGAGCTGGAACTGATGTTTTGGGCTTGTTTGCATGAGTATTTCATCATGGTCAAATATAATATGTTTGTGTGTTGTCTGTGTGTCTTTACAGAACATCAGAATTCATGTTTTAACATTGTCCCTGTCAAACAATTAATACAGTGAAATATGAAAGTAATCTCATTCAGTTTTGCATGTGAATTATAGATGATGTAGATAACCCAAGCCACCAGACGGATTACATAGGCAAGCTGATACACCAAAAATGTTCTGTATAAGGATGTTGATTTCAAGAATGTTTATATCACAAGTGTTTGTCAAATATCTGAACTTATGTTTCTTTTCTTTTTAAGATGCGGGTAGAAACAAATCGTATAAAAACAGGCCTTGACCTCTCTGACGGGTCACCAATGCCATTCTTCAACCCAGCAGCTACCAGCACCACGGGCCGTCCCGGGAAAGTGCCACCACCAGTGCCACCCAAAGGAAAGGGAGGGTACGGAACTGACGACAGGAACCGCGTCAAGTCCGATCATGTAAGACCATGTTGCATTTTATCCACTTGGTTGAGGAGCATTTTCAGTAAGAACTTTTATACTTTAAGAACATTCGTGACACATATCACTTGTGTTTGTTAGAGAGATATATTCATGAACACAAACACATTTGTGTCATTCAGCTTACATGTTGGCTTCAACTGTTCTCAAAAATAGTGAACCATGTTGCATGATTCATTGTACTCATTGCACCACGCATCCAACATTCATCCATCAACTCCTACATTCTGCAGTAAGCTTACCTCCAAGCCTAAGATGGAATGATGTACGTGGTACAAGAATCTAGGAATTATCTGTTAAATCTAAGTTATGCAAGATCATTTGTTTACATGTTATTGTATGAGATTTTACTTCTCAGTATATGCTACAGCTCTTTAAGCATGAATGGTTATGGTTTTCTCCCTTTACTTAGTCTCTCCGGTGCTACAGTGTTCAAAAACTATCAGTGCTTCTGATAACTATGCTGACTAAAATAAAAGAAAGAAATATAAATAAATCTTCATTTCATGTGGCCTCAAATTCACACCATGTTGAAGCTCTGCTCTTAACTTACCTAGGGAAACCCAAAGATTTCAAATTAAAACAATTCCACACTACATGATGTAATCTGGTGATTGTGGTAACAGCCGATGCATACTTTTTGCCTTGTCTCAAATTTTTACATTACTTTTTTAAATTGAACATGAATGCCAAAGTGACATAATCCTAAATTACTAAGTCAACAATTTAGGGGCCCCTAGATTCAAATACCTCAGAAGAAGACTGTGAAAGAGCTGACCTATTGAGTACAGTGTCTCTCTATGTATGGTTTGGCAGTATCATTATGTCGGAAACGTGTGCTGCAGGTTTTGAATATGTGTTATCTAACATTTAACACCACTGTCAGCACCAATAGGTTGCATGAAATCAGGTGAAATCATTCTCATTGCATATATTCTCATAACACCTATATTCAAGGCCCTGTTCCATAAACACTACCATTGACATACCAGTTTGTATTACATGGTGATACTGGTAGTTCTAAATCTTGTGTTATGGAAGAGGGCCATGGCTCAAATTCTTCAACCATCAGCAAGTCTACAACAACCTTGGTGGATGGTTTACAATAATTATTGTTATTCAGACATACACTGATCTTTCTGATCTCAACTTATATTTTAACCATTTATGTATAACATGGACTATTAAGGAATATATTTTTCATTTGTGTATGTGTAGACATACACATTGGGTAAATTATGTTGTTCTCAAACAATAATAACTTTTTAAACTGCTTATTTAATCATTAACACAAGAAGTCATGTACAAGAATGCAAAACCAGTGCTATTAGTATTATTCAGCACAGTAATGTACAGAAGCCCTGCCATGCTATCAGCTGTGTGATCCATTAGTGTTTATGGCTTATTAATATTTTCACTTTTGGGAACATAAATGGAAAAAGCCTCCTTGGTTGGCCTGTCAATTATAATTTATTTTTTCAGGCTTGAAATTGCCTTTAATTTGAAAAAGCATTAACAGTATAAATTTGACCCTGAGGCTCCTTGAAATTTATGTCTATGACTTTGATATTAAGAAAGAACATTGCTGAGGCCTCATTTTGCTGTCATAGCTTTGTTTGATTTTCATGGACTAAAATTGAATGAGTGGGCAGGCTTTGGACTTAGTGATCTTGCCATATGGAGTTTGGAAACCTTGCTTTGTTTTTACATTCAAAAAGGTCAAATAATTGGGGACAGTTTTGTAAAAAGAAATAAAATCAAACTGCCATATGGCGTTGTGTCACTAAAATGTGCCAGAACTCTGCCACTTTGCCAGCTCATTATCAACTTACATTGATATCCTTTATGTCAGTCTTTTTATGCATACTTTCAGCTATCTACTTAAGGCTTGTTTGTGTATGTTATATATGTGTATGTATGTTCTATCACCTAGCTTACTGTATCATGCTCCAATAGCTACCTATCCATCCATCCATTCAATGTTCATCCATCTGAGTCATTAGATATATAAAATGATATATATGTAGACTAGAGACAATATTAGCCATTCCCCTATTCATTGGTGTTATTTGTTATTCCCCACTTGATCCTTCATATAGACAAGCAAGTAGTTACACTGTAGCTATGTATTTAGCCAGCTCTCTGTATCCTAGTGTACAGGTAGGCATCATGCTTCCTGTATTCAGCTGTGCAAACTTAGTGTCTGCTCTTTGGTAGGATATTTGTACTCCATTCTTTCAAATTTTTATGAATTTTCCCAATTGGTTTTATTTTTAAAAATTTGATTTTTTCCAATTGTCCAAGATTTTATTGGCTGTAGGTGGCTGGGACTTTTCATCATAGAACTAATTTTGTGAATTTAGACTTCATTTAGTGCATCATAGAGCTTGAAAACAAATTTCGGTTAATTCTGTTACAAATATCTATTGTGAAATGATGCATGCATTTGGCTTCTTGCATGCATGGATAGGATCTTGATTTGTAGGACTCAAATTACATTCAAACCAAAAATATGCATGTTGGAAATTTAGTATGCATAGTAGTGTATTTTAAGTTTCCTCACCATTTGGCAGTAGCATATCTGTTGTGCATGCATTGTGGTAGCAGCAGCAGCAGCAGCTTTGTTGTCAATGTAATAGTGAGATGTAACTGACGTAGTGTCATTATCTCATTATTATAGCCACCTACAGTCCTTACTGAGAGCGTTAAGTACGACCCCGATGTCGATGACACTCCGGTTTCCACAAAGAATGTCCCCCTCGTGAAAACTGAGACTCGAACTGTAACTTATGAAAAAGAAGGGAACTCACTACCCTCTGAGATGGAGGATGGTTACCTTGTTAGTTCCCAGTCGCATAGCACCAAGACGCAAACTGTCGAAACAACTACAGTAAGTTAGGAATACTATGAATACTCCCGTTGTTGAGGGAAAGCTATTTGTGTGAGGAAAGATCATCAGTTTTGTTACATTTAAAAAATGAAAGTTTAAGTCCACTGTTATCATAAGAGAATTGTTTATTGTTTTATTTTTTTTAGATAGATTTTTTTCATATCTATAAATTTCATAAGTGTGTACATTTTAAGAGATTTACTTTTAATAGAAAAAACTGAAATGTTATTTCCTCACACATTAGTGATATACTCTGGCTAAATACAAGCAAATTTTATGGTATTTAAATTGTGTGAGTGTGTGTTTGGCTAGTTTAGAGGAGTTCAAGAATAGACATACACAGGATTGTCCTAATCCTACAGTAGCACTGTAACAGTGTCACTAGAAGTAGAACAAAGCTACACATTTCAGCTTAGATCTTGTTATGGAAACAAATTTACAAAGTTCATAGTTGTTTCATCGCCTGTTTCAATGCATAGGAGATCCAGCGAAGACAAGCATTTACATTGGAAACACAGCGCAGTAAACATCAGTGGTGTTGGGAGCCTGACATGTTCTCTCATTCTGGTTTTCATGAAACTCCTTTGAACTAACCATGTGTTTGATTCCTGTCTGCCTGTGTTGGTGGTTGTGGCAGGTCTTCCCTCTCCTTCACAACTGCAAAGAAGATAACTCTGTTTCTTGTGTTCTGCATCCTCTGGAACTCAAAAAGTCCTTTCTTTAAGCAATGTTCAGTACAGGGAGTTATATTCCAGGCTAAATATGGTTCAATGAATTTTGTTGATACTGTTTGTATGATAGTTCTTCATTAGTTAGTTGATCTTCAGAATTTCAGAATGAACTTCCTAAATGAACCCATTTGAAGGACTTCTCATTTAAAACGTATGGGAGTCTCATTCCTGAGTTAAAAACACGTGATAATCATTTCTACCTCATAAGTTTCTGTGGGTAAAAGTGTTAAATAGCATAATGGAAAGCTAGATCATTTTAGATATAAGCTGGTGCTGAATATAATGCTTTCTCAAGTCAAGTATATGCCAATCTTGGAGTCAAGGTGCCAAAAAGAGGGAAGACTATACACAATGGTGTTGTGTGTTTGCATGTCTGTGTGTCCAGAGTGTAGCACCTTTAGTCTTATGTATGTCTGGTTTTTCAGTACAAGACCGAGAAGGACGGCATTGTGGAGACACGAGTGGAGAGAAAGGTTGTCATTCAGGGAGATTCCGATGACTTCGATCATGACGAGGTAAGAGCAAAGTTAATATTACCCTCAATGTGCAAATCATAAACCTAGGAAATGTTTTAGTCTGGGGGTTATTTTGTTCAGCAATGGATATTGAGTAAATGGCAGAAGACATCTTGCAAGATATTGATGTCCTCATTCATGTCTTCATACAGCCTTATGATCTTTAGAAGTAAAATCCTTTGATATATTTAAGACCTTCACATCAGCAGACACTATTAATTCAATTCCAGAGTTTAATTCAGACAATAATTTATGTATCATTCTACTAGGACACACCTGGTCATTCCACAGGTTACTTACGTAGACTAGTGGATGTGTTTTACCATCATCCACCATTGTTGCACTCCCACTTTAAGACCCTTCCAATACCACTGATGTACCTTTAAAAGCAACACTGTTTAGTTTGGTTTCCTGTTATGGTGATACTTGTCTTATGTTTGACCTTGTACCTTCTCTAGGCCTTGGCGCAGGCCATTCTGAGCGTGACAGAGCTGGATCCAGATATCTCCGTGGAGAGAATTGAATGCATGAGGCAGATGGAAGAGGTCAATGGAGACAACAGAAAGTATGTTTTTCCCCACAACTCATTAGATTTATTTGATTTAAGTTTGTCACTTTGCCTCTGAAACTGTTATGTTCTTTAGTTGAGTTTAAGCCCCAGCAAGTTCCTAGAAGTTTTGCTTGGAAATGATAAAGGAAAATAATGCTTGTGTAAGGTTTCGCATTATGTTGAATCAAGTGATGATTTTTTCATTTATGCCTTGTTAGAACCTCAGAATACTGTCACAAAACTGTTGCAGTAGTTACAATACCCAACAGGTTTCGTAGGGGTTACAGAATCGTGGCCAAGTGAGGGAATTTTCTCAGACCTAGAATTGTTTAGAAAATAAGACTTAATAAGTTATGGAAGAAGAATACTTTGATGCTTGTAATCCTTTTCTGAATATGCCTGGGCGGTGGGGTAGCCTAGTGGTTAAAGCGTTCGCTCGTAACGCCAAAGACCCGGGTTCGATTCCCCACCTGGGTACAGTGTGTGAAGCCCATTTCTGGTCTCCCCCACCGTGATATAGCTGGAATATGGTTATAAGCTGCATAAAACTGAACTCACTCACTCACTCACTAAATATGCCTAGATGAGAGGGAAAATGAAAAGACCACACTCATATTTTTCCAAAGTCTTTCTGAGTTAACAATAATTATTGCAATTACTGAATACTTTCCAGAGCCTGTCATTGTAACAAGACTGTCGTTTAAGTCATGTGATTGTTTCTTTTGCAGCACAGCAGTGTGAGAGGAAGTGAGTGATATCCCAAGTGCTGAATCTATACTCCATCTCCTCCATTCATCGGGAACAGAAATGACAGACAATAAGCTTGCATTCATGCCATCATCGCTGGATTACCATTCTGTTGTTAAATAGCTTCATTTAATGATTGATTAGTTGCATATTTTGATGGTTTAGATGTCAGATTCAACCCCGTAGGAATGAAATTAGATGCCTTTTAGTTATGATGGAAACTCAGCCTCTTTTTGAAGTTACCAGTCTTAAGTTTAGTTGTTATTTTAATTCATTATATATCTGCTTACGTATGTGATTATTTTCTGATGAGGCTGTTATATTTTTTTGACTGTACATATGGGAAGTAAAATATGCTTGTTCCATTTAATTCATTCATATCTATCATAAAGCTTTTAATCTGTTCATTGTTTTATTACAGTGTTTTTGTCATTCTTTTTATACCAATAATTTCACAATTGAATAATCATGCAAATAATACGAACATCTGTATATTTAGAAAATTGTGAATAAGCTTTGTTTATTTTACCATACTTGCCAAGTTTGTAGACAAATTATGCATTTTCTTATGATCAATACAGGACCAAATGTTTGTATGTACTTTGTGCTGTCATATTTTTGGTGTATTGAAACACATACACACTAATTAGGATGTAATAATTAGTCATATATTTATCCATATAACATGTACAGATGGACGTCCATAGTGTGGAATATTCAGGTTTGTGACTAACCAATTTCATAAAGTTTCTTATTGTTACTGCTGAATGTTATATGACAAAAAGAAATATTTCAAACTCGCTCCTTGTGTACTCAAAGTATATGGAAACCTAGCTTAGGTCTGTTGATTGTAAAGCATATATTGGTTCTTGAAAGTTCTGACATTTTTCAAATTTACTGTCTTTGATATGACTTTTAATGGTGTTTAGTGCCTCTACCCCTTTAAAATTAACACCTTTTGAGATACATATTTCTTTGGAAGTGGAGTGTTTTAAACGTTTTTTCTTGTTCAGTTTGGTGCTAGGTTGTTTGACAAATATTTATGAAATGAAAAATAACTGGCAGTGTTGTGGAGACGATTGCTTCTTCCATTGTTATGATTTTTTCTTTCTTTTTGAAACAACAAATAACTTATGAAATTGTGTGAACAATGTCCTATTTGCAGTATATGAAACTGCAGTGTCCCAAATTGGTATATTCCTCAACTCGAGGGAGTGTATTAGGGAGTAGTCATGTGAACAGAGACAGCCAAGACAAGAGTTGTCATTGGTCGGGAGACAGAACCCAGCCACACATGTGGACCGTCCAGCTGTCCTATCTTTGTGATACTATTAATGTCTGTGGACGTCTTGTATCATCTTACGCCTGCTGTGTATCTGGATTGTGCCCGAGTCTGCATCTAGACTGGGAAATCTCTAGTATGGGCATGTATTTAATGCATCGCTGACTTTCAACATTGCCATGTCTAATGTAATACATTAGCTTTCAGTAAGGGCATTTTCTATGTCAGTCCATAGCTACAAATATGATTTTCGATACAAGGCTCTTTATGACAAAAGCCTGTAAATATGGAATGGTTTTTATGAGTTTTGTTGTGGCAGGTGCTTCTTTACTGAAAGGAAAAATTTGGCATTAGGTGTGAGCATGGAATGGTGGGAGTCTGAGATGCTGGGATTTGTTATAGCTGGTCACGTGCTCACATTGATCATTGCCTTAAGACGCCATATGTTAAACACGCTTTTTAATAGTCAGCAATCAGTCTAGATGGCAATGATACATTTAAATCATGACTTCAGAATAAAACCTCTGTTTCCAAATGATGTCTTTGTTTATTGTGAAAAAAGGCTTTAAAAGGATTCCAAATCTGAACTGCTCATGGATGTTTTGTTTGAAACATGAGTTCACTGATTGGACTACTCCAATAAGGGAATGTGGATTTGAACAGGACAGTCACCACCTACACAGCCACATGCTGTTCCTTGTGACGTATTTTTTCACAAGTTCATCCTGCTTCATTTTGCAGACAATGTCCGGAAGTCTGCTGGTTTGGAATACATATTCCAAGGGTGTCAGTATCCCAGTGGTGTCAAATAATGGAACAAATTTAAGAAAATTTGAAAGTGTGTGTTGCTCTTAAAAGTACCCTGTTAAGTCGTATTCTAGTTTTATTACAGTCGTTAATTTCTGCTTTGTTTAGGAATAAGTATGAATAAGCCCAAGAATACAGGATACACACAGAAATGTAAATGTTTCAGGTGGTAATAACTCCAATACAGCATGATACATGTCAAAATAGAATTCGCGTATGAAGTCTTTGAGAGGCACTGTTCTGCAATGGACAAATTGAAGCCAGGATTTAATCAGGTCAGTAGTCTTGATAGAGCTTGTTTGGAAGCTTTCTGTTCAAGTAACATCCAGTAGTGATCTCTACAAGATACATTTACATATACATTTGGATATAACCTGATATGTTAAACAATATGCACTTGCCAAATATAAAAATAATCTAAAACAGGCTGTCTGTCGTTAATCTGTCATACCATCACATTAATTACAGTAATATAAAAAAATTGTTTTGTCCTTAGCTTCTTTTGAGTGGCATACATCTGGAGGTTCTTTAACCTGTTGCTGACGAAATATTAATATCATCCCATACACAAGCTAAACATACGAGATTTTCATGACAGATCATTTCTTGCTTGAAGCCAAGAATAAACTTTTGGCACATAATCTCCCTACAAATTTGAACTAAAAAATACTTTTTGTTTTGGTACGTGAACTGTGTGTACTCAGGCCCCATCAGCAAGTCACTTTCACAGTATTTGTTACTATAAGTTGTGGGTGTATTCGGCCTTTGACCTCTAGGAGTCAAGTGAAACAAACAGGTAATGCGCTGACAAGTATTGTAATCATGGCAAATTCATGAGAATTTGTAAGAACTTGTTAACTAGACCAAGTAGTTTCTCTCACACACACAAACACACACACACACACTTATTTCATACTGTACAAAAGCTCTAAAGGTAAGTGACTACATTCTGTAGAGATTGACAGTGGTTGTCAGTAAAGTGTGGTTGTAATTCATCTGACCCTGGGCCTCTTTCCACAAACATTAATCATATCTCTGGAATGAAGAAAATTGTGGCTCCACCAATTGTGAATTCAGAATTGGGCTTCACACTTTCGTTCATCCATACCCTGCTCCTTGCTGCAAAGCAGGAGGCCTATTGTAATCGTTAATGTTTTTATTATTTATTATTCCGCCGTATGTTGTACCACTCGTACAAAAAGCACCGCTGGACAGAATCGCTTGAATAAAATCACCAAGGTGCCGACAGTGCAAAAATCTCAAGGCTCGAGGCCCAATAGCAAAGGGGAGATAATTCAAAATTAATTCAAAAATTTCAACTTCAACAGCAAATATCTGCAAAACTACTGATCCAATGACTACCAAATTTCCTGAGCAGATGCGCAATCGAAATGTCTACAATTTTGCCTGGACGGGTCGAGACGCTAAAATGCACCGTTTAGCCGCTATTTTGGATTGAATTTTTTGGTGATGTTTTTCAGCAAATTCATGACTACTTTTCTCCCAAAATCTTCTCCTCTGTAACTATCAGAGCTATGGCTTCCAAACTTTGCATACTTTGCCTCTATGTACCTTCCTACAAAGCATTTTCATTGATTGTGGCTAGGTCTCTTGGTGGCCGCCATATTGAATGCGACTTCTGGGCAAAAGTTGTCTTCAAAAACTTTCAAAGGCTTCTTGGCGATTTTTTCCAAACCAAAATTACAAGATACAACACTGGAAACGTTTTGAAAACTGTACTTATTCATTTATTTATGTCACTTCTGAAGAGCGCCATCAAAGTTGTTGATTAAAACGTGTGCAACATTAAAGGTCACATGCAACGTAAAACACAACTTTGCAGATTCTGATACCTTTCGGTATGGACTTACCGAAACAAATCTTCAAAACTGCAAATTCAACTTATTAAGTTGAAAATAACGCGATGAAAAAAAACGCGCGAAATCGTAGTTCAAACGATTCACTAATTTTCCCTCAGCGCGTGGGGGAATTCAAGTGGTTTCAACAGCTGGGCTGCGCTCATAGCACGTGCGCAGTGAAATAGGTTCGCGCAGCTTGGAAGCGGGTTGTCCGGTGAATACTCGGTGAAGGCTTTGGTGTGAGCTATTTTTCTAATGTTTTGTTGATATTTCACAGGCGCGAGCTTTTTATATGTTATGACAGTAGATTAACTGTTTATATAATTTCATTTGTCTATTTCACCACACGTTCTTCTTACCGTGTCACTTTCTCAGTTCGATACTTAAAAGCAAACAGAATGCATTGATTTATGGCCCGAGTTCGGTCTCTGTCACATTATGTAATTACACAGACAGACAGGTGTGATACTTGTACACATGACATGTTATGATGTCTGTTGATTGCAAAATGTTATACACAAAAAATGAGCATGTATTTACAAAACCCAACATCTCTCTATATACACACACAATGAGCGGTGAGGGCATCTGCAAATGAACCAGCCGTTACACTTGAGTGCACACCCACCCGCTCTGACTGGGTTCGGTATCCCGGCTGCTTCGTTTCTTGGGAAGTGAACCCAAGTACACAATATTGCACTTTTGATTTGCGATTGTACGCTTATAATTTTGCATATATGTTTTTTCATAACCAGCAATGTATATTATATGTCATGAATAAGTGATAATTGTGTTTTAATTATGTTTGATTTTTTGGTTGCATGTGACCTTTAACATTATCCATGTGAATATAGCGTATGGTAGCTAAAAGTTAAAAAAAACTATTTGAGACGTGCCCCGAATGAAAGAAGAGAGTGCCAAACAAACTCACCAACAACTCCAGGCACACCACGCCAAAAATCACGCAAAAAGGATTCCAACAACGTACCAGTCACGATAAACAATGCTAACACTCAAACCCCCTATGTTTTGACAGATGAAGAAACTGGGGACCCCGACGGCCCAGGGATACATTACCGAATGTGTCATAAGTTTCTCCCACATTTACTATACGGCAGATTACCCGTGCAAAACATGCGACAGTCTGAAGGAAAGCGCGAGGACGATTCTGGCAGCTCCTTCAAACACGCACTTGCGCTGTTTCTTATCGATTCCCTACAGACGCAGGCAAGTTGTACACGTTTATTCACCGTGACAGCATGGATAGCACTGGAAAACTACTAGGTAAGTGTGCAGTCACATGTTCATAACTAATACCCAAGGCATGTTGGATCTATACCAAGATCCGCATGTTGTCTCTACATCTCAACATGTGCATTTGGGATGCCTTGGTGGCACTTTGCCTGCTTAATTTCCCCCTCATGATATCTCCTATAAGTTGAGTTGAGTTGGGCTTTACGTCACATCGGCATTATTCCAGCCATATAGTGACGAGAACAAGTCTGCATTAATAGACATTGTAAGTACAGAGTCAAAATGAGTTTTATTTCAAAAACATATATGTATTCATTACATTGTCATTTAAAAACAGAAAAAGTCATAGCACTAAATTTAAAAGCAGGCAATTTGTTAGTCACATTACAATTTATGATACAGATCAACTTTCCTCAGGTAGTTCACTGTCAGATGAGCGCTCGCGCGGGAGAACAGATATCTCCTATAAAGAGACTACCACTGCAAAGCGTGGTCCACGTGCAGATATGGGTGACGATGTGAATTTCAACGACCGATGTAATTGACTATGACGAGGAGCTGTCAATTCTGAGCTGGAACGTCAGCGGGTTAAAACATAAGCTGCACGATACTGAAGTAACAAATAATTTGTTTAAATGTATCTTCAAAGACAACAGAGAAACCAGTGAAATTCTATTTTCCTCACCGTAGTTGCTATCTTCATTGGTTCTCTAGAGAGCACAATGAAAATTTGCAGTATGTATCTCAAAAGTTTGCTGATCATTTCTGTTCATGATGCATGTTAAAAGTATCACCGTTTAGTACGTATCTTTTTCATGATTGTTAGCGTTAATTGAGATAGCTGACGGAAGCGCCAGTAAAATCTACCAACAACATCCACTCGCTGGCTTTCTAATGCCCAAAGAGTAACAATTGGGTTTCTGCAGTTTGCACGGATTTTCAAACTTAATAGGCGACCTGTATCGAGGTGTTAGGTGTACTTCCAGTATATATACTTGCTCTTGATTCACAAGTTCAGTTTACAACAGCCCGAGCGTAACAGTGTAATGGATACTGATACAAAGTACTGAAGGGTTCATTCTCAGGACGTGGACAACCTGAACTTTTGCATTCACAGGACGTGGACCGAACTGTTATCCGGAATTGCCAAGGTGTCGTGAACTCTGTTCACTCTAGTAAGCGTGGTAAGCATGTGACTGTGTTAGGTGAGTGAGTTCACTCAGAAATTGTTTTCAGTGTTGATTGATTTCATAAAATATGTTCACTCCAACAAGTATACACCGCTAGGTGAGTAAATTAATCAGTGTCAGGAAATTGTACTATATAATTCTGACAAAATAGGGTCAATACATTACTTTCACTATGGCAAACGCACAGTTAGATTACAAATTTCTTCCGACATCACGAGGCGGAAGATATTTCAGCGTGAATGGACACACATACAGAATCATGAAGAGAATAAGCAATGACTGGTGTTTTCGGCATCAAGGGTTGTAAATCAACTGAATCTACAGTCAACGACATCGTCACACAACCACCCCGCTGTTCCAAATGAAATTGAGGTTTATCGATGTTTAATAACCGTGGGGACATCAGCGTCATTGTGTTTGCCGAC